TTTAAGAAAATATATGTATTTGTGAACTATATTTCTAACTAATATGCTCACTTGTTTAATAAATGTTGCAATTATAAGTTTATTAAAAAGCAGAAAATAAATGTTGAAAAGAAATACATATGCACACATAAGAATAGCCTTGGATTTATTCAGTTGTAGCTATACTAAAACAGAGCCATAGATATGTCATTTCTTTTTTTCCCCCATTTTAAATTCTTTCTAAATTTTAGGAAGTATCTATAATTATGATATGTTTATGTTTGTGTATAAGATATTCATCTATTATAAATCAGCTCGAGAGTATAGAAGCATAGCAATTAACATTCCATAATGATATTAGCACTTTTAAGTGTATAAACTTACATGTTATCACTTAATTAATCTTTTTTAATGTCATTTTTACAAGCCCTTATACAGTGTGTTTGTAAATCTTATAAGATAAGACTAAATATATCAGCAGTCATTGTCTTGATTCTTTTTAAAGGCTTTGGAGCGGGTTGCAGTTGGCCAAGGGGTAAGTACAAGTGTTTACTTATACTCTGACTGATGAACTCAATACTTTTTATCTTAAGCGTCCTTCATGCTTGACCTGCTAATGAACTTAAAGCCTGATGGATTTTAATAAATATCACCTCGTCTTGTTCCCCCTGCACATTCAAACTTACACATTTTCTCTAGTTATTTTAAGAGAAGTAAACCTTCACGCAAAGTAAATTAAACTTCTAGCAAAGTTTCCATTTTATACTCGTGTACTAACTTCTCACTTCTTATTATCCTAAAAAGTTCATCTATAAATATTTTTTTTAAAAATGTTGTTGGAGAATGTCAGACTCGTACAAGCAAAGATAAACAAAGTATAACATTCATTTTATTACTAACTACAGTCCAAAGACACATTCAATTTGGTGGTTTGATGATTTTTTCTTTATTAACTAGATTTGTCATTAATTGTAATGGCCAAATGGTTTTGCACACATAAATAGATGTAAAATGCAGCCAAAAAAATCCATTTAATTGCCTTATGATTCATGAAACATATGACAATATTTTTATATGTTTGGAGGGGTTTTTTTTTTAAAGTATTATCAGATTTTCCTTGTTGGACTTTAATATTAGGAATCTTTTTCTTCTTTCCAGAGAGCATTAATACATACATAATTTTAAAAAAAATAATAATAGAATAACAAGTAATATTTACTCTAGGCCATGTATTATGCTAAGATGTTTGCATATTCTTGTAAATCATTCAATGTGTCTGTATAAAACTTGATTAAAACACCAAACTCTTTTTGAAGACATTCCAGCATATTGTTTAAGTGTGTGTCTTTAGTCTCAGACTCCTGTTTTGCAGCCAGTCTTTACCACTTAGTAATTTAATGACTTTAAATACATGTCATAACTTTACTGTAGGATCTTTTTTTTTTAATTTTAATCAGCAAAGTAAAATTTATAGCAGTGATGTCAAGCTGGAGACTAAGGTGTACCTGATACGGGCCATAGTCTTCGCAGTTGTGTGCTATGTGTTGGAGAGCTGGACAGTGACTAGGGATGATAGAAAGAGAATTGTTGCTTTCGAGCTGTGGTGCTGGAGTAGGTATTGAATATACCATGGACTTTTAAGAGAACAAACAAGTTCATCCAGGAGAGGGTGAAACTGGGATGCTCCTTGGAGGCAAGGGTCTGAAGCTTCGTCTGGCATACTTTGGGCATGTTGCAAAAAGGGACCAGTTCTTAGAGAAGGACATCATGTTTGGGAGAGTGGAGGGACAGTGCTAGAGAGGAAGACACTTGATGAAGTGGGTCGATTCAGTGATTGGGGTAATGGGAGTAGGTGTGTCAGAGATAGTGAGGTTGGCACAGGATAGAGCAGGATTTATGGCTCTTGCACATAGGGTTGCTATGACCCTCAAGTAACTCAACAGCACATAACAACAACAAAAGAAATTATAGCAATAATAGGAGTAATAATAGTACTTCTGAGTAGGATTATTGTAAGGGTTGAATAAATCCATATGAAATGGTTACAATAATAGTAGCACATAATAAATGTATATTCATTATATATAGACTAGTTTTGCTTCTATAGTTAATGTAGTTATAGCTAAAACTAAGAAAAATCTCACTATGTAACAAATAAACTGTTCAATGATCTTTTCATTTATTATGGTACCATTCTTGTTGTTAAGAGCTGTGTGTTGGAGAGCTGGACAGTGAGTAGGGATGATAGAAAGAGAATTGATGCCTTTGAGCTGTGGTGCTGGAGAAGAGTGTTGAACGGACTGTGAACTCATGGAGACCCTGTGAACCGCAGATTTGAACCTTGCCCTATCCTGCACCATCTTCGCTATCTCTATCATGCTCAAGTCCATAATAGTCACTGTGTCAGTCCATCTCATTGAGGATTTTCCTCTTTCACTGACCCTCTACCTTTGCCAGCATGATATCTCTCTTACTTTGTAAGTTGGAGTCCTTGGAGAGAGACATCATTGGGGTAATACATAAATATTATTATTGTAGAATAGGCACAATTATTATTCCATTATACAGATGATGAAACTATACAGGTGACATTGCTGACATTTGAGTCTGTATGTGACTCTGAAGCCCAGCTCTTTAGCAACTTTACATATCAACTTAGTGGTTTTCTAAGAATGTGAAGTGGCTTTCTAAGAATGTGAAGTAACCTTGGTTACACAGTGATTAGAATGTTTGACAGCCAAGTAAAAGATCATTGGTTTAACCCACCAGTTGCCATATAGGAAAAAGATGTCACAGTCACCATCTGAATACATAATAGTATAGAAAACTCTGAGACAGTTCTTTTCTGCCCTATATTGTTGCTCTGGGTTGGAACATTGAATGACAATAAGTTTGGTTTGCTTTAGTTTACGCAACAAAAATAAGAAAGAACCTATATCAGAATTCCCTAGTGCTCTTATATAGCTTTTTTTTTCCATATCCAAAGAGTTTGCTCATACTTACAGTCAATCTTATGAGTTAGGGAAAAATTATTATGAATTAAATATTAACCCAAACTCACATGAGACCATAATCCATGCACAGGTTTTATGTTCTAGCTTCCTTAATGAATTGCCAAGCTTTGATTTCCAGCTTAGAAATTTTTTCTACTGTATTTTTAAAAGACATATATAGTATGTGTGCTGGAAAGGAATATAAACTTTCATCTTCCTGTTTTTAAAATATATTAAAGTGTTTCGTTGATTTATTACTTACAAAGCAAGAAAGTAAATTCTGAGTTACATCCGGTTTATTCCTGGAATAGTGAGACACAGGCTGCCTGGAAGATGTTCACGCCATTCCTTCTCACTTCATCTGTGCTTACCAGAATGAAGAAATCTTGTTATTCCAAGAATGTACAATGCAAGTCACTTTATTACTCTCTTGCTTTTCTCTAAGGAAACAGCTGCAAAGCCCCTATTAAGTTAGACTCACTTGGGAACAATAATTTATTCTAGTCTGTTTGCATTTTTCTATGCATTCCTTTTCTCCTTTTGCTTAAAGTACATTTCTTGGGCTTTGTGTGATCTTACTGTACTAGTTTTTAAATATTTTTGTTCTTGTTACATATGGTCAATTCACTTGAGACTCAGAGTGACCCTATGTACAGTAGCTCTGAAACCTGCCAATCTTATTATCTCTGACAGACTTACCCCCATTACCCCAGTCACTGGTTCTATCTATCTCACCTAGGATCTTCCTCTCTTATGCTGTCCCTCCACCCTCTCAAGCATGCTGTCCCTCTCCAAGGACTGGTCCCTCCTTGCAACATACCCAAAGTATGTCAGAGGGAGCTTCAGAATCCTTGCCTCCAAGGAACATCTGGGTCTAGGATGAACCTGTTCGTTCTCCTAACAGTCCATGGTATATTCAATATTCTTCTCTAGCACTACATCTCAAAAGCATCAATTCTCCTTCTATCATCCTTAGTCATTGTCCAGTTTTCTGATGTATAGCAAGTAATTGAGAAGACCTTGGCCCAGATCAGGCATACCCTAGTTTCCAGACAGATATAATTATTTTTCAGTACTCTAAAGATGTCCCTGAAAGCATATTATTTTTATACGATTATACATTATGTTTCTCAAAAGCATAGAGAAGAGTTTTCCAACCATTTTTATGAAATAACTTTCATGTAATATTAACATTTCCATCTCTTATAGCTAATCTAGCAAAATATTAAAACCTTTATATGTTGTTTGTAGTACCAGTGTGACTCTTTCACTTCAGGATATAGTCCAGATGCCTTGAACTTCAGTGGCACATTATAAAACCTGTTGCTGTCAGTGCCTTCAAGTCATAACCAGTTTACAGATAATCCACCAGTGGGTTTTCACAGACCAGTTCCATTACACAGGAGATTTCTCTTCTATAGGAGCAGTTGGTATATTCAGACCACATGCCTTTGGAACTGCAGCACAACTTCTTACTACTAGACCACTAGAGCTGCCATTATGAGAGTAAATAATCTTATTTCCACATTCTTGGAAAAGAAGGGGATTTTTTCTTTTTAGGAAATAAGATATAAATGATAAAGCATAGGCTTTGGTATATAGAAAATGACTTACTCAGTATGTGAAACTGGCAAATGGAGACTCTATTCAGAGATGAGATATGCCAGATGAAATATTAAGAACAGTATTTAAGAAAGAAAAACTTAGAAATAAAAAGATTTTTGTCTAAGTGAATAAATGATATGTGATTTCATTTAAGAATTATGTGTTTGAAAGTTATAACTTTTATTATGGTTATTAAAATATAATGTGTCTGGTTTTACTGAGTTATTCTAGAAGGACTGTGGTATTCCTACACCTTTTCCATGACATTTCAATTCCCCTCTTCCTACTCTCAAGAAGGTATATGACTTGTGTTCTTTCAGTGTGGTCTGTCATAATGCTACAAGTTAGAAATCTCTTATGACTTAGAAAGTAATGCCATTAGAGAAGGCCCAAGACGTGGCTCTTCACCCTCAACCCCTACATCAGCACTGGAAGTCACAGTGTGGGACATGGTAATGGGAAGTGAAAGAGGCAATAGAGTAGATTTTTCTCTCTGACCATATTTTGAAAGCTTTTAATCCCAAGGTAAAACCCATATCTATTTGAAAACAAAATAATAGTTTCTGGGATGTGAAAGAAAATAAAAGCAACAGAGGGACAAGTCAGTGGGCACATACATGAACCTCTGTAACTTTTTCTATGCCATTTTGTCTTCTAGCTCCTTTACCTCTTTTTCACCTTTTAAATGCTTAAATTTCCCATGATTCTTTATTTGACTTTATTATCTTCTTATGGATCTCTTAGTATTGAAACTCAAGGCTTGAATTTGTTTTCAGTTCTTTCAGCTTGAGAAATGATGAGCTTGTTCATCTCCTTTTGTTCTTTGACTCGAGCTCTTTGCACATTTAGATATAATAATTTGCTTTGTCTTTTCAAGCTTCCTTTGACATCTTCTGTTCAACTCTTTTGCTTTGACATTTCTTCCTTTTGTTTTGGT